ACCAGGCTGAGCTGGAGCAGGGCAATTAAATGCCAGTGGCTGATCCGAGTCCTTTGACAAAGCACTGGCGACTGCAAAGTTGAAAATGTTTTACAGAACGCGCTTAGCAGAGAAGAGACTCAAGCTTACAAAGTTAACAAAACCAAGTGTACACTGTATGCAGCGATCACTGAATGAATACGTTGTTTTATCTCTGTTCCATGTTCTTATCAAAGGTCTGAGAAAAGCAAGCACAGGAGCCCATGTGTGCAAACCAAAGTATTTTAGGAGTCCACAAAGGGGAGAGCCTGAAAGCCGCTGTTGTAGAGAGAGCACGGAGCGAGCAGCTGACAGACTCATCCAGCTACTTACAACGGGGTGGCAAATTAACTCTTAAAAAGCCACATTTTAACCGAGAGGTTAATCCAACCTGTAATGAAAGCCCCTACAGCTAAGCCAGAGAGTTCAGCTGCATTTCCTTCAGCTCGCTAAAGACAACGTACGGCTCCTTTATCAGATATGAGCTGTAACCGAAAACGGCTCAACACCAAATTAGGGCGCCTCATGACACCGTGCCAGCAGTCACACACTAAGTTGAACTGCCCAGTTTCTCCAGTTATGCAACGGACTGGCAGCTCCTCCTCCACCACAGCCGGGACGCTTTGGGAACTGTTTGGTGCGCACTCTTGTTTTCCCCTCCCTTGCCTGTGACCGGACTTGAAAATCAGCTTTAGAGAAAAGCCCACCAGATCAACCCAAGCAGCTGAACGTACTGCAACAGGAACGCAGCAAGCACCTGAATGCGGCTCTGTCTGCGCTCCAGGGGCTCTCACACACAGAAGAATTAGTTTTGCTCAGTGCAGATCCTCTGCCCCGCGCTGGAAATGACTGAGGCCACCGTCCTCCTCCTGCGTGCCTGCCTGGTGCTGCTCGCCTCGCCCATCTACATCCTATCCTTCCTGGGCATATGGGAGCCCTTCTGCAGGAAGATCTTTTTCCCTTTCTTCATAGAGAATATGTGTGCAGTTCACGAAAAGAAAACAAAGAAGCGGAAGCAGGACCTCTTTAGTAATCTACCCGACTTCAAGAGCCGCTCAGGGGAGCTGAAGCTGCTGGAGATCGGGACCGGCTGCGGCGCAAATTTCCAGTTCTACCCACCGGGCTGCAAAGTCACGTGCACGGACATAAACCCCAACTTCCAGCAAGGCCTTTCGAGGAGCATGAACAAGAACCAGCACCTCCACTACGAGCGTTTCCTTGTAGCAGCAGGGGAAGACCTGCACCAGGTGCCCAGCGGCTCTGTGGACGCCGTCGTCTGCACCTTGGTCCTCTGCTCCGTGCAGAACGTGACCGGCACCTTGAAGGAGGTACAGCGAGTGCTCAGACCAGTGAGTATCTGAGTAAAAACTTTTGTTATTACCTTTAGCATCTATCCCACAGGCACTGAACCAAAAGAAAAGTTGTTTTTGAGCTCACAGACCCAGTTTATTTCCCTGGTTAAATCAGATTTGCAACCACTCTGTACTGGTGCAAAGCAGCAGCAACACTACTGCTCTGTCTGCCCTGTTCTGAGAAGTAAAACCCTAAAAGTAACATAGTTTGGTAACTACGAGCTGCCAGTGTTTTACAAGTAATTACTGTGTATCATTTAAAGCAGAACTGGTCCCTCTGGTGTTGTCTCCACCCCCCACACATCAGCTTTTTGGGGAGAAGATGGGAAGTTCTGTGGTCAAGACTGAAAGTCTGCAATTTAAAGCACTCTAGACTATTAGAAGTGGGGCTGATGTATGTGTATGACTGAAACACTCCCATTAAATGCCTTCACTCCCTGTGGTATACTAATCAAGCTAAAGATTAAAAAAAAAGCTGTTTTGTTGGGGTATTTTTGCAATAGACTTTCAGCCTTCAAAAATGGCATTTTCGAGACAATCCTGTGGGTTGTGAAAAACCCAAGAGTTTGAGTAGGATTTATACATTTCTTTTCATTTCCCTTGAAAAAAATTACACGCTCGAAACGGTAATTGAAACAAAGACAACAAACTACTGCTATAATAAAAGAGGGATGAAATAAGTACATCCTTCACGCTTTCACAATAGGCATTTTGGATCTCCGCAAGCTTCTTGCTTACATGAATTCCAACTGGCACCACAAAAGCAGCGAGCGGGCAGGGAAAGGGTGGGAGGATACGGGCGAGCGAGCAAACTGCGCAGGCACTGAGGAGGTGGGATGGAGGGAGGTGGGATTCGGCGTAACCCCAGCACCCGCTGCGGCTCTGTAAGACGCCTTTGTTTCCCCCAGGGAGGTGCTTTCTACTTCTTGGAGCACGTGGCCGCCGACCATTCCAGCTGGAAGTATTTTTGGCAGCAGGTCTACTACCCAACTTGGAAACTCGTCTTTGATGGATGCTGCCTAACGAGAGAGCTGTGGAAAAATCTCGAACAGGCCAACTTCTCGCAGCTGAACTTAGAGCACATAAACGTCGAGCTGCCCTGGACGCCCATCACGCCTCACATCATCGGGTACGCTGTGAAGTAACGCACGCCGCCGCGCCAGGCCTTCTCCCCTCCCTGCCACAGAAATTGCTGGATGTAATCAAAGCAAACAATACAGCATAAGCTAATCAGGACGTCCGAATCTAGATAACACGGTGAAGGACTTTAATTAAAGTTTCTGATTCAAGCACCAAATTAGAAGAGAGGGGCAGTTTTCTGAACACCTTTGAAGCCCTTGCACTGCTGATTGTGCCCCCAGCACAACCCAGGGAGGATCCCAGAATATAAAACAGCCCAGCAGGCATGAAAAAAAAGTACTATTAACACAAGGGAACTTCTGCCTATGTCTGGTTCACTCTGGGAGATGATTCTTTCAGGTGTTCCCCATACTAGGGAGCCATCGTAGGCCAGCACTGGGCTCAACCTTCTCCCTTCTCCCTTCTCCCTTCTCCCT